ATTGTAACTTGTGTTATAGTTGAGGTATAAGCAGACCTTGTGTATTTGTGTTTCTCTTGATTACACCTCATAGGTAATGCAGTTTTTTTACACAAAAGTTTGTTACAACAACCCTGTGTCAAATAAGTCTGCTGGTTCTAATTTTCCAACATGTGCTCACTTTATGTTTCTGTGTCAAATCTTGGTAATTTTCTCAATATTTAAAACTTTTTCATTGTGGCATAGTCTGTAAAGAGTTATGCCATCAATCAAAGATCTCTGTTCAAATCTACCAGCGAGAAAGATGATCAGTCTCCTCTTGTGTAATTTACAGATTCAGAAACACAGTGGAGGACCAGCTATGAGTTGGTTCTGAATTTATAACAACGAATGATTACACACTTGTCATTGTTGATTGCCATCGAGTTGAGCATGACTCACAGTGACCCTATGGAGAAAAGACCTGAAGCCTTTCTATAACTGTCATCATTTTTCAAAGTTAATAGAGTTTCCAGAGGCATGTTGTTTAAGAAGTGGATGTCACTTCTACTTCCAAACCTGTCTTAAGCTGGAAGCTCCACTAAACTGTCCATGGGTAACCATTATGGCATTTGGCACTCCAGCGACATGAGGTTCAGCATCATAACATCCCCAGGTTACTTCAGTACAGCAGATTGACAGAGAGTTGTTGTTATATGCCATAGAGTCACCTGCAACCTATAATATAGTTGTTGTTGTTGTTGTTGTTATGTGCCGTTGAGTCACGACTCATAGCTACCCTATGTACAACAGCCTTAAACTGTACTCTGTCCTGTGCCAATCGCACTGTCTCTGACACTCCCATCCCAATTATCCCAGTCACTGAGTCAATCCACCTCATAGAGGGCCTTCCCCTCCTGCACTGTCCCTCTGCCCTACCAAGCATGATGTCCTTCTCCAAGAACCAGTCTCTCCTCACAACATGTCCAAAGTATGTTAGACGGAGCCTCAGAATTCTTGCCTCCAAGGAGCCACCCGGTTTAACCTTTTCCAGGACGAATCTGTTTGTTTTCCTAGCAGTCCATGGTATTCTCAATACTCTTCTCCAGCACCACAGCTCAAAGGCATCAGTTCTCTTTCTATCCTCCTTGGTCATTGTCCAACTCTCTGATGCATTAACAAGTGATTGCGAAGACCATGGCCTGTATCAAACGCACCTTAGTCTCCAGGGAGACACCATTGCTCTTCAGTACTCTGGAGAGGTCCCTAACAGCAGACTTTCCCATGGCAATATGCCTTTTAATTTCCTGGCTGCTGGTGCCAAGAGTGTTGACTGTGGAGCCAAGCAAACTAAAGCTGTGTACAATCTCAATCTCTCACCATCCATCCTGATGCTGCCAATTGGTCCAGTGGTAAGAATCTTCGTCTTCTTGACAATGATCCTCAATCCATATTGGAGGCTGCAGTCCTTGACACTCTGCAGCAGGTGCTTTAGGTCCTCTTCAGTTTCAGCAAGCAGGGTTGTGTCGTAGAAATACAACTTTTATATGTATTTGGAAATTTAAAAAAATTATAACTTTAGCTTTATTGCAATGTTCACATTATTGTGGCCTAGAACAGAACCCACAATATCTCAAGAGATAGGCCTGAAGTGGACTTACTCCTCATACTTCTCTCCAAAGTTGTGAGTTATATGCTGCTTAAAACTAGTTCCTAGGTGTTGTTACTATAGCTTACAATACTTAGTACTTTCTTATACCAGACCCCAAACCCCACTGCTGTCCAGTCTGTCCCTGCTGATAGCAGCCCTCCAAGCCACTACTGGCTTTTGAGTTTATAGACCTTTTCTTGAGAAAACTGCTCTTCTGTGTCCCTTGGAGCAGTTAGTAGATTCCTACTGAAGACTTTATGCTTAGCAGGGCAACAAGTCAGGCACTACACTGCAGAGCTCCTTGCACTAAACTGCCCTATTAATGTTTAGATGAATTATTTCAACCTCTTAAAATTAAGAAATCAATTTTTAGAAAGTGATAGTCTTTCAGATGTCAGAAAATGGAAATTGTACCAGTGAATGACTGTCTAATGAAGGAGCTCTGGTGGTGTAGTGCATTACTTGCTGGATTGCTAGTCAGAAGTGATTGGTACTACTAGCTGCTCCATAAAAAAAGTCTCCTCAAGCTTCAGAAACCCATTGAAAAGTCATAGTGAATCAGGAAAACTCAGTGTCAGTTGGTTTGGATTTAGTTTTGGTGTCATGTCTAATGAAAGAAATGAAAAGGTGGTGCAAAGTTTAAACATACGGCTGCTAAGTAAAAGGTCAGTGGTTTGAACACATGAGCTACTGTATGATGGAAGAGTGTAGCAGCCACCTCTGCAAAGATTGTTGTGGTTAGGTGCTGTTGTAGCAGTTCTACCTCATTGCAAACCTGTGTATAGTTGAATGAAGTACGTCCTGTTATTGAACAGTCATTACCTGTGATTAAGCCCGTTGTTTCAGCTGCTGTGATAACCCTTGTTAGGAGTCATATACTCAATTGCTGACCCTCTACTTTACCAAGCATAGTTAAACATACCATGGACCACCAAGAGCATAAGTAGATCTGTCTAGAAGAAGGTGGAACCATGTTTTTCTTTGGAGGCTAGGATTTTGAAGCTCTAACATACTTTGGGCACGTGGCCAGGAGGGACTAGTCCTTAGGGAAGAATATTATGCTTCGAAGGGAGGAGGGACAGTGCAGGAGAGGGAGACCTGGGATGAGATGGATTGATAGAGTAACTGGGGCAATGGGAGTAGATGTGTATGAGTCAGCAAGACCGGCTCAGGACAGGGCAGGGTTCAGAGCTATTGCACATAGGGTCACTATGAGTCACAGACAACTCGAAGGCACATAACAAAACAATACCCCTCTCCAGTGTCTGGTGCATCCTGATAATGTGAAAAATATATGAGACAAAGCTTCACTATCCTTGCTTCTAAGAAACATTCTGGTAGTACTTTCTTCGAGATTGCTTTGGAAACCTTATTGGGCAGTTTCTATTCTGTTCTAGAAAGTTACTCTGAAGAAACCCTGCTCTATGGCAAAGAGTTTGGGTGGTGGTTCTTTTTTTTTTTTAAATGACTAATAATGTTGCTTATCTTTTTATGTGCATATTGGTCATTTTTATATTTTTGGCGAGTTTTCTGTTCAAGTTCTTGTCCTATTTTTAAATTGGGTTTTTTGTTTTTTCTTGTTGAGTTAGAAGAGTTCCTTAAATATTATTTATTTATTGCATTGAAACAGATGAGGGAGATAACTATTTAAAAGGGATATAGGATTAGATATTATTGTCATGACAGGAGTCCAGAATGAAGGTAGCATAGTGGAGTGGACTTGAAGGAAGGAATTTAATAACAATGAAGGATTTTTTTTGTTTTACTTTTCAAAAAGAAAAGTGAATTGTGGGGGGTAGGGATGGGCAGGGAGAAAAGTGCAACAATGAATGAATGGAAATCCAAAGTCTCTGTAAACTTTCATTAAAATAAAATTAAAAAAGGGAAGAGTTCTTTATTTAGTCAGGATATTAAACTTGCCAGATATGTAGGTTTCAGATATTTTCTCCAGAATATTAGTTGTCTTTTTAGCTTGTTAATATACTCTGCTGGAGAAATTTGGGTTTTGTTGTTCTTTTACTTTTTTTTTTAAATTTTATTAGTGTGTGTGTGTGTGTGTGTGTGTGTGTGTGTGTGTGTACCATCAAATCAGCTCTGACTGGTACAGGAGGAGATTGTTCCTCCCTCTCCAGCAGAGCATCTGGTGGATGGTGGATTTGAATTGCACAGCCTTGGGATTGCAGTGCAGCTTCATGCCAGTAGGTCACCAGAGCTCGCCTGTTATTATACTTTTATTTTGGTGTTGTATCTAAGACTCCATTGTCAAATACAAGATCTTTATGTTTTCTTTTAAGAGTTTTATGTTTTAATTCTTATATTTAGAGTGTTGGCTCATTTAATTTAATTTTCATATACAGTGTGAGCTACAGGACCTACTTTATTCCTCTGCAGGTAGAAATTCACGTTTTCCAACAATTGATTTTTTTTTAACTATTGAGGTTTGAGAGTTAGAAATATATATATATATATATATATATACACATACACACAATAACTGTATTGTTGTTGTTGATGATTGCTGTCGAGTCGCGCATGACTCATAGTGACCCTTTAAACAAAAGGCCTGAAACCTTTCTATAACTATCATCATTTATCAAATTTCATAGTTTCCAGAGCATGTTATGTTGTTTAAGAAGTGGATGCCACTCCTGTTTACAAATTAACTCTGTGTGTTTGTGTATATATGTAAAGAACATCTGTGCATATATATGTATATGCACACAAATAATATGCAATATTTATATTATATATATAGAGAGAGACAGAGTCTATCCACAAGTCTCTTTTTACAGTCACTTTGATATATGAATCTTAGTTTCTGGTTTGCCACTTTAAGCTGAATTTTTATAGTTCACAGAAGATTGACCTATTAGTTTTTCTGTAACAACTCTAGAAGAGATAATTTTGAAACCTCCCCATCTCCAGTTGAAACAAGTAGGCATAAACTGTGCCTACCACAAAACAAGCTAATGAGAAGCCTATAGTGAAATAATCTTGTGATAGTTTGCAATAATGTGTAAATCTTTTCCCTAAAGATTTTTTTCTTGTAGTCCTTTAAAATGTGGTTATGCAGGGCCTCCCTTCCTTTCATAAAAATTTTGTACTTCTGAAATGTCTTAGCATTGTTTGTGTTTTTCTTAAGTCCAGCATTTCATCAAATTAAATTTCTTACTTATGGTCACATACTATTATATAAAAAAATTTGAAGCATTGTTAAGTGAAATGTGTGTGTGCACATGCGCGCACGCACACACACACACACACACACACACACACACACACACACACACACACATGCATGGAAGTAAAATACACAATTTCAGTAAGAGTGCCTATATGTTCTGTTTGTTTTTTAAGGAATCTAACAACTGTCCCAGCTCTTTGGAAAAACTGTATGACACTACATCATGAGTGACAGTAAATGTGATAGTCAGTTTTACAGTGTGCAAGTGGCCGACTCAACGTTCACTGTCCTAAAACGCTACCAACAGTTGAAACCAATTGGCTCTGGAGCTCAAGGAATTGTTTGGTAAGTTTGATCTGTTTTAATTATTTGGATCGACTCTTTGGTGCTCTTAAAAGTAAAACCAGACCATCAGAATTTAAAAACACTCATGATGAAAATACTCTTTTATTTGTTGTTCATTAATAAGCTAAATTAAATCAACCTCTTTCTCTAGTTGTAGGTAGTCAGATTGTAGGCTATAAACTAAATTCTTAGAATGCTGCAAAGATGTACATAGGTAGCAATTTTTTTGTTTCTGTTTTGTTTTGGGGTTTTCTTTTTCCATTCTTCTTGTCATTATTATGTCAGAGTATTAGGTATGACAGAGAGTTGTAACAGAAGTTTGTAGTTTTATTCATTTCTTCATCATGGCCACCTTTTCCCCCCTCCCCCTTTTATTCCCAGTCACTCCTGTTCATTTCCAGGCTCCATCCTTGCAGTGCCTTGTCATTCTTTGGCAAGATGAGGCCAGTCAGTCTCATTCTCACCCCATGGATTAACCAGGAAGGGATGCTGTGTGAGGGGTTGGGCTGGCCGCCTCCTCTTTGGTGTCTCACTTCAACTATGTGTCCAGGCAAGAACATCAGAATCATTAGTCTGACCCTGAACTTAGTCTCTTGCATGGTAAGACAGTCAGCGGCTGCAACATCACTGGCCAGCTAAAGGTAAAGTTTTTCACATGTTTTATAGACTACAGTTATCAGCACTTCCAAAAAATTTCATTCCCTGTTTTCTCAGAAAAACATTTTTTGGGGAAAGTTGGGACGTCAATAAAAAGATTATCTTTACTTCTGAAAGCAACTGTGATGTAGCTCCTACTCCAGTAATAGCAAGAAAAAGGGAGTTCTTTTGCATGTTCTGATGGGGCATTTATGTTCTCCTCTAGAGGTGTGAAACTTTGTCTTTATCAGTTATTTGTACTGACCTTCCACTATAGATAAATGTGACCAGGGAAATTGGTTGCTTTCTTTTAGTGTAGGTTGTTGCCAGCCCTAGCAGCCTAGAGAGGTTTTCAGTCCAGTGCTTTCCAGAATATGTGTGGAAAGACAAGTGGCTGTTTGGAAGGACTAGCCTTCCATCCACACTGTGCCTAAAATAGAGGCGATTTTAACTTTCTAATGGTAACCTGTTTTGTTATCAGATATATCAAGAGAAGTTTTAAAGTAAGCAAATGGCTCAAAATTAGAATTTTTTTGGCATTAATAAAAGGCTCTTGAAAAGAAAACATTCTTTTGATTTATAGTCTACTAATTATTTGAAAAGATAATAATTTGGGATGATTAATCTCAAGGACATTTAATGTGATAATTACATTATGAAGCTGACTAGAAACTAGTAAGTAATTCTGAAACAGAAAGCTTTTTAAAGGGTGAACATTTAAGATTAATTATTTCATTATAGCATTGTAACTAATAGTAAGAGCACATACTTATTTGATATCCAACTTGCTTTATTGCTTTTAATCTTTATTTTACTTAGCATTATATTTTACTTTATTGTCCACTTAACAGTGTGTCCTGGAGTTATTTGACTATCTGACTGTAAAGAACTTTGTTCCTATTTTGGATGTATGGAATACACTGTGTGGCTTATTTAAGGACTTTTTTTTAAGATAAATGTTTAATAATAAAATGATTCCTTATAGATGTATTTTTTTCCACTTGAAAAGTCTGGTTTTGAAATTAGAAATTGTAATGTGCCATTATATACCCAAAAGGGCTCTGATGGCAGAGTTGTTAAAACACCTACTAACTGAAAAGTTGAATGGGCATGTCAACCCACCAACTCTGTCACAAGAAATGGATGTGGCAGTCATCTTCTGTAAAAATTTAGAGTTTGGAAAACTGATGGGACAGTTCTGCAAAGTCATTAAGTGCTGCTCTGAGTTGAAATTGACTTGACAACTGTAGGTAGGCTCAAACACCAGACCTCCTCAGGTAATTGTTGTCATGAGCCGTTGAGTTGGAACTGACTCATAGCTGACCCTCCAGCCAGTTTCAGAGGCAGTAAATCACATGGAAGAAGATTACCCATCTTTCTCCCTTGGAGCAGCTGGTAGATTTGAACCACATGCCTTTAGGTTGACAACACAACTCCTTACCCACTAGGACATCAGAGCTCTCTTCCTCAGGTAATAGTAAAAATTATAGAACAGAAAAGCTCTTTTATTAAAAAAAGTCATGATTTTTTTAATAGCTTAAGTTTTCCATAGCAGGATCTTAATAATCTCATCTAATTCAGTATTTTCTTCACTTACCCAAATTTATGATAATTTTTTTATTATTATTTGTAGGAGCAGCTTTCATCTTACAGATTAAAAGGTAGAAGTGTATTGAGGCTAAGATCTGTTTTTCATAGCTTGATTTTTTTTTTATTATAAGGAAAGATGGAAAAATTAGGTTTTGGTGTTTTCTATTCAAGAAAGTTGGGTTTTTTTTGTTTTTTTTTTAACCTATAGAAGAATAATTAGGTTGAAGGAAAACTTCCTAATGGCCTCGTTGACAGCTGATAACTTACTTTTTTGATCATTGAAGTCATTAATTCATCTAGCTTTGCAACTCAGATTAGCTCTGCGTGGCCTTGTCCATAAGGAGTTGCATTGGTAACTCAAAGGTGGTGCCTCTCTGGTGGTTCCCATCCAGCAGCGACTCTGTAGGAAAGACACAGGCAAACTTCTCCTAGGTAATTTAGCCTCCAAAAATTTGCTGGAGTGTCAAATATGAATTGATTTAAATTTAACAGCAAAGAGAGTTGAGTTTTGTAGCCAAAACAAAGAAAACCTGTTAGATCAAGAACACTTTTAAAAAATATTTGTACAGTTTTGAAAATTATTCTTAGACTTCTAGAATGTTTCATCTTTTGACAGGCAATTACCATCATATGAGCTAGGTCTAGATGGTTGTAAATCTTTTGTTGACAATTTTTTTGTTGCTTTGTTGCTTTAGTGCTATTTCCTTTCAGTTAGCAAAGTGGGAATGCTCCTTGCCTTCTATATACATTTTCTGAAACTTTTGCAACATGCTATCACAAATATGCTGGCTTAAGAAAAACAATCATTCAAGCAGGGTTATCATTGCTGATGTCAGATAAATCCTGGCTGAGAGTGAAGAATACCAGAAAGATGTCTATTTATTCTTTATTGACTACGAAAAGGCATTTGACTGTAGATCATAACAAGTTATGGCTAATTTTGAGAAGAAGGAGAATCCAGAACAAATAACTGTGCTTATGTAAAACCTGTACTTAAACCAGGAGGCTATTGTGCAAACAGAGCAAGGGAACATTGCATTGTTTAAAATTAGGAAGGGAGTGCATCAAGATTGTATTCTCTCTCCATACCTATTCAATATATGCTGAACAAATTATTTGAGAAGCTTGATTCTGTGAAGAGGAATGTGACATAAGGATTGGAAAGAGACTCATCAATAACCTGCATTATACAGATGACATAATCTTGCTTACTGGAAGTGAAGAGGAATTGAAACACTTGTTGCAGAGGATCAAGAACGCAGGCATCTATATGGATTGCATCTCTATGTCAAGAAGATAAAGATTCTTATCACTGGATCTGTAGGCAACATCATAATGGATGGAGAAGAGATTGAAACTGTCAACAACTTCATCTTAACTTGGATCCACAGTAATACCCTTGGTAAGCCATCAGGAAATCAGGAGACATATTGCCCTAGGAAAGTCTGAAGTTCGGGACCTTTTCAAATTATTGAAGAGTAATGATGTCAGTTTGAGGACTAAGGTGTATCAGATTCAGGCCATGTTCTTCCAGTCACCTGCTGTGCATCTGAGAGCTAGACAGTGAATAAAGATGGCAGAAGAAGAATTGATGCCTTTAAGCTGTGACGTTAGAGAAGAGTACTGAACATCCCATAGACTACCAAAAGAACAAACAGATTTATCTTAGAGAGGGGTGCATCCAGAGTGCTCTTTGGAGGCAAAGATGATGCAGCTTCATCTCACATACTTTGGGCATGTTACTCGGAGAGTCTGTATTCCTTGAAAAGGAACATGATGCTCAGGAAGGTTTAGCATCAGAGAAAGAGACAAAGACCCTTGACCAAGTGGATCGAAAGAGTAACTGCTGTAATGGGCTCTAGTGTAAGGATGGCATAGGATAGGAACAGGATTCAGATCTGTTGTTCACAGGATCTCTATGGGTTGTACTTGACTCTACAGCATGCATCAACAACAAGAAAAAGCAAAACCAAAATTATAGTTCACATGCTTGTAAAGGCCAGCAAGTCCCAAATCCATAGACTTTACATCAGGAGGGAGGTATGTGGGGAGGTTATAAGTCCCAACTCGTCAGCAAGAGGACATGGTCTCAGGCTCCTGGCATTGGATGCTTCCAGCTTCAGAGGTCTGTAAGTTCAAAGCTTATTGCTGGGAAACAAGGTCTCAGAAGGCTGCTTTTAGAGACTGACAAGTCCAAAGTTGTCAAACATAGCAGGTTCAAGTTTAGAGGCTTCAAGCCGGAGCATCAGATGCAGATAAAATAAAATCGTTTTAGTGTTTTGCCATACAGTCCAAACATAATCCCACACTTTTTTTTTTGACTGGTAAGTAATGTAATTAATTTCAGGTAATTTTGTTGTTGTTGTTGTTTTATTTTATTAATTTTAATGAACATTTACAGAGATTTTGGATTTCCATTCATTCATTGCTGCACTTTTCTCCCTGCCCAGCCCTTCCCTCCCTCCCCCCCCACCTTCCTCCTCCTCTTTGAAAAGCAAAAGAAAAGCTCCTTCTTTGGTATACAATCCCCCCGTACCCCTCCCATCGCCCCAAGTACACTCCACTATGCAACCTTAATTCTGGGCTCTTGTGATAACCATAATACCCTATCATATATCACTTTTAAATTTTTCTCTCCCTCATCTGTTTCAATGCAGTATACATAATTTATCCAGTTTTTCTCAGTCTTACCCCAACCCTGATGTCAGTCCCATTCTACAACAATGACACTATGCAGTATTTGTCCTTTTGTGACTGAGATACTTCACTCAGCA